AAATTAATAATAAAAAAAATTTTTAAGTTAAAAAAAAAGGTAGCATATTTTAAGATTACTGATGTTTGCTGTCAAATTGTCCGCCAGGAGCTGAAGTGCACTAACCAATCCTTATGTGTTAGAATGCTGGTTTCTCCATCTCTCTGCAGCACTGGTCAAAACACCATTTCAAATATACTCTGTTCTGCTTCTCCCTTTCCTAAGAGCCTGTATTACAGGCAGTCTATAAATCAATCCAGGCTACAGTCCAGTAGACGTGATTTAATGTGATTGCTCCGGGTGACGGAGAACTCTCCCTCTGGTTCACTGCCCAGGATCCAGGCAGCATGTGCAGACTATAAAGGCAGTAGCTCCAGGCGTATTACTCAGAGACAGGGCTCTGACTTCATCAAACCACCTTCTGCCCCCCAGGCCATCCTGTCAGCCATGAAGCTTCTGTTCCTGGTCTTTGCCACCTTTGAAATCCTGGTTCAGGTGACCCCAGGTAAGGGAGAAGAAAAAGGGCCATGAAGGCTGTCAGATCTGGTTGCTACAGTGACAGGCAAGCCAGATGGGGAAGAGGCCAAGCTTCTCCCCACTGAATTCCAATCCAAAGAAGAAATTCCTCAGTATCTAGCTCTGGCCTCACTCCTTATATCCAACTTCTACCTTCTATAACTTTGGACAAACATCAGCCTACAAAATTTTTCTGGGTTCTGAAATGAGCATCAGCCTTAAGCTAGTAAAAAAAAAAACCTTAATTATGCTTTCCAGGAGCTGTCGATGACTGTGTTTCAAGACGCTGGGAATGCTCCTCTCTGCATGATTTTCATCCTTTGAGATTTGGCCTGGGTTAGGAGAGATTAAGCCTGGAAGGGAGAGATTTGAGTGTCTCAAGTCTGTACATAACAGAGCCCTGTCAAGTAGGAAGTTAGAAGAACTCTTGGGGGTAAAGTCCCTGAGTGAGTGCTCAGCATGAGAGCTTGGGTAAGGGAAGAAAACAGAGCCAAAGTTGGGGGGGGGGGTGAGGCGCGTAGAGAGAGTGTTAAAGTGGGTCGGTCAGGCCCGTGGATGTGAAGAAAACCAAGAAGAAGGGTGCTCAGGAGAGACTGGTCCTCTGATGGCAGACAGAAACTTGAGATGAAGGCCCCCTGGTCTCCCTCCAGCAGTGTGTTAATGCAAAAAGACTGTCAGCAGCAGCCATTTATTTCTTTTTTTAGTTCTTTTGCAGGCTGATTGTATTTCTTTTTCTCTAGAGTTAACTGAAATTTTCAGTTTCATATTCCCTGAGAACAAGCAAGGCAGAAACACCACAAGAGGAGAAGTTTGGGGATCACAGTGGCCCCAATTTCTCTTTCTGCCGGAATATGAGGATCTGACATCTCTGCTCTCACCCACACGTCCTATCCGATAGTGTAAAATATGGCAAATTAGAAATCTTCACTAGCTGCAGATATATAGACACTGACCAGAAAGAACAGGTTTCTCAGAACAGGCCTCCGAGGCCATCCAGCGAGGCAAAGCCCATCCTTCCTTCCCAGTTCTCATTTGCCCCAGTATCTTAAGAAGACACTTCAGAATAGAAGGTAAATGTTTCTTTCCAGTCCCTACCCATTGATGCCTTTGAGCTGTGGTGCTGGAGAAGAGTATTGAGAGTACTATGGACTGCTAGGAAAACAAACAGACTCATCCTGGAAAGGGTTAAACCGGGTGGCTCCTTGGAGGCAAAGATTCTGAGGCTCCGTCTAACATACTTTGGACATGTTGTGAGGAGA